CACACACACACACACACACACACCACACCACACACAAGCACTCGCAACTACAGGCACAGCCTCCATGTAGGCAAGCACAAGCACAGGTCTTAGGCCTTGCCACAACCATAGATGTGCACATAGAGGCAACGATTAGAATCGGCCAGCTGCCCGTGGGGATTACATCCCAGACATCGAGACCATCAAATGAACTATACACGAGTATTACATAATGTGTCCATGCTTACTCTACGTTTTCTGCGCTGATAGAGCAGCACCTCGCATGAGCGAATTAACGACTTTCCTCAAATGTGCATTGTCTGATAAAATATCCGCAAACACGGCTCTGAGAGACGCCTCAGGCAACCCTGCCTTACTTCCCACCCGCTCTCTTCTGGTACGAGCAGTCGTCTTACCTGGCTGCCCATTATCCATCCCCTGGCCTGCGATATCCGCATGCTCATCGTTGTCCCCTGCAGGACGGCCTGAGCTCTCGGCACACGCATCTGCTTGTGAGGTGGTACCATTCATCTGATGTTCTCGAAGAAGCTGTGTCTCTGCCAAAATGCATTCAATCCGCTGATTGGAAACAGACAAGACATCAACTAAATCTGACGATGGGTCCAAAACTGCACCCTCACCATCCAGTTTCACGAGTTCCCCACAGTCCTTCAACCTCTCTCTCAGTACTCCAACTTCATGTACAAGTTTTGCTCTCTGCAAGGCATCTTCTGCCATTTGCTCCTCCAGGTCTCTCAGCTTCTTCTCTGCTTCCTCCCGTGCGAACATAGCTGCCTCCGCCTCATCTTTCAGGACCACCTGCGCATGCCTCAACGACTTCACTTCCTTGATCAGAACTCTCTTCTCCATCTTGGCTTTGGCATCGATTTCCTCGCGCTCGTGCTTCGCTGCCTCGAGCTGTGCTCCAAGAACCTCCAGCTCCTGCATTACCTCTTCCTGTGCGCTCTCCGCGTCCTGCGCCCTCTTCTCTGACGCCTCTATCTGCTCCTTGTCCCTCCTCCTCTCTTCCTTCTCCTTATGTAATTCGAACCGCGCCTCTTCGAGAGTCCACTGCAGCTCTGTCAGCTTCTCCCTCTCAGCCATGTGCACTTGGAGAAGCGCCTCCCGGCTCTTAGAACGCGTCTCGTCGAGCTCCCCTTCCAAATCGCGGACCTTGCTCGTCAGGAACTCCTTGATTGCCGTCTCCTGCTTCAGCCTGGCCAGCAGTTCGTCTACATCGGCCTTCGCTGTGGTCAATCTCCTCTGCATGACTGTGAGCATTCGTTGGACGATCATCCGGTGATCCGACGGTAAAATCATGCCGACGTTTCTCAAAACGTCCCCTGACGATGCGCCAGCCTTCCCTCCTCCCATTCCTCCCATTGCCTTGTTGTCGGCAAACTGGGACCCTGCACCGTCGATAGCACCTGCTGCCTCTGCCTCCTGTTGTCGCTCCCGCTCAGCTAACAGTGTGCTCATATCGCCACCAAACAGCGATGCCGACGTCGAGATTTCTGATGGCTCGCTGCCAATTCCCGAAAAAGACGAAGCGTCGCTGTTCTCGCTTCCCCCCGATCCAGTCCTTCTATGCCATCCATTCTTTAAAATCCCCACAAGCTCCCCCTCAGGGGCCGACTCCTTCGCGACCCCTTCAGCATCTCTGCCGCCAATTCTGAGATTTCCCCCCCCTTCTGCAACACCCTTCTGGATCCCAAACTCCGCTTCCAACAACGCGGCAACCTCCCCGTCCGTAACTTCACGTTCACTAGACACGCTGGCGATCCCTCCCCTACCTCCCGACCCCAAGTTAGCCTCCTCCAACTGCGAGATCGCACGGGTAGCATCTGCCGCAGTTCCTATCTGCTCGTTAGCGGCTGTCCAGACTGCTCGTGCAGCAGGACCTACCACTGGTGCAGCCTCCGATGCTGACGCCGACCTGGAAGGCGGTCTGGATGGCACGCCACTGTCCGCCAGATGAGAGGACAAGTCAGCATGGGACCTTTGATGCACGCTTGTCATGTTCGAAGCAGGACTTTGACCGTCTGACGAGACGGTTCGAGGAGTGGAAGACGGAGAGCGGTGAGGAGCAGTTGACACGGTAGCAGTATCATGAGCTGTTGGCAGATTTGAGGGGAGGGAAGAGGATGGCGAATCATCCTGCGACAAGGCGGATGCTGCGCCCCGTGCTGCTGCCTCGAGCTCTAGAAACCCTGCCATCGGCACACTCCTTGAGTAATCAATATCCATTAGGACCTGCTGCATCCAGTCATCCAATGCTCTGCGCCGCTCCTCTAGCAGTGCTGGATTGGAGTTCATCCTCTGAAGAGGATTCTTGGGAGGTGGAGGGGGGATGCGCTTCTTAGGGAATGCCTTCCTCAGGGCGGCGTGCAGCTTTAGGAAGTCGCTAAAGCGGCGTAGCAGCCCTCTCATGTAACTGACAGCCGTAGGACTCTGTATCGCCACTTGCACGCGATAAAAGACAGTCCCATTTACATCCGCCGGGGTCAGGGTGCGCGTCGCCGACAGGATGGTCCATGTCGCCACCACTGCACAGTAGCTCCAGCCGCTCCGTGGATCGTGGGGCCAAACGGTGTCCTTGCCGGTCCAGCGAGCAGGAGGTGGGCAGGCATCCATCCCCAGGGGAAGAGGGGATGTCCCATCATGCCGGTGGCAGGGTGGGCTCTCCATCTTCCCCTAATCGGTGCGAAATCACTCCTACGTGACGACTATACTGACATCAGCGAAGGCCCCCATGCACTCTCCGGCCATAACACACTAGCACTTTCCTAAACGTATCTGACTGCAAGCACGGCCACACCTCGATGCATCTGACTCCAATCAAGTCCAGAGTGGAGTCGAAAAGGTCCTAGTGGGAGTATGCACCCTCAGTCGCCTGCTGCACGCAATCAACACGCATCGATACTGTCTCATTTCCCACCCCCATCATTTTCTCTTCAAATTATTTTCCACCCATCTCAAGGATCAGATTTCTTCCAAATCTGTCTGCTAGGCAAAAGCACCAAATCCGCCAAACGCTGCACTGATTGCGATGCGGAGCTCTGGCCACACAGGCAACCGGCGATGTTCTGCAGAAGCCAGAGACACAAATAAGGAATGCTATTACACTTGTGAACAAAGCAAACTCTTTTTTGGGGAGCCCCTACCTATCATACTGGATAGGGAAAACCGTGCTTGTTGACTTGGTGATAAATTGATACTCATGATCGTTAAACTCTTTTCCTTTACAAAGAAAAATTGATCTCGTTCAATGCACCTGGCTCTGTTTTGTACAACTTAACATGCATGTTGGAATGCACCTGGCTCTGTTTTGTACAACTTAACATGCGTGTTCGCATGCACCTGGCTTTGTTTTGTACAAGTTAACATGCATGTTTGAATGCACCTGGCTTTGTTTTGGGCAAGTTAACATGCATGTTTGAATGCACCTGGCTTTGTTTTGGGCAAGTTAACATGCATGTTTGAATGCACCTGGCTTTGTTTTGGGCAAGTTAACATGCATGTTTGAATGCACCTGGCTTTGTTTTGTGCATGCATGTTTGAATGCACCTGGCTTTGTTTTGTGCGCAAGTCCACATGCATGACCTGCAGTGGAATGTGGACGTTCAGATAGGTAACGATTATTATATCTGATCCTGGACAATGATTATATCTGACCGTGGATGAGGATTATGTATCTGGCCCACAGATACTGCTCCTATACACATAAACTCAGTCACAATACTACCAATCAAATACATCCTCCTTTAAACCACCAGTACTTGGGCTCTGCGCGCCGCGCCGGCCGCCCAAATCTCTAAGCAGCGCGGGCTGTCGATTCGATTTATTGACGGCCCGCCGGCCGCAGAAATCGCGTAGGGTTAACGCTAAGGCGTCGCCCAAGTACTGGTGGTTTAAAACAAAATGACAAATGTACTGTGTGAAAGGACGGAAGCAGCCCCTTCATGTTCGAAAGGACAACATTAGCCCAAACAGCGTCCACCTGGGCCTTCGCACATCCAGGTGCAGATCATGTACTTGGCCATCTGCACAACCAGGTGCCAGTCTCAGTCTCCGTTCCAATTTGAACACTCCCCAATCCGACAGCATCCACCTGGGTCTCCGCACATCCAGGTGCAGATCGTGTACTTGGCCATTAGCCCAAACAGCATCCACCTGGGCCTTCGCACATCCAGGTGCACATCATGTACTTGGGCATCTGCACAACCCAGGGGCCATTCTCCGTTCCAATTTGAACACCCAATCCGACATCATCCACCTGGGTCTCCGCACATCCAGGTGCAGATCATGCACTTGGGCATCTGCACATCAAATGTTATAGTTCTTTTTTTTTTTTTTTTTTTAATCTTTCCACATCCAAATGATGTAGGTTCGCTGCTGACTGGCTCTCAAAGTTAAAGGTTCAAATATTGTAATTTTGACGCTTAAATGTTTTATTTAAAAAAAAAACGTCAAGACTTTCCAAGTTCGCAACCAACATACCAAAGACAAAGGGCAAAGAAAAAGTGAGGTCAAGCTCATGCAGAGGCCACTTTCACACTTTGCGAAGCCCAGGAAGACTTGTATCTCTCAATCATTTTTGGTCCCTATACTTTTATACTTTCTACAAGACGAAAGCCAAAATTCCGTAGTTTTCTTTCGTCCGACCTTCACCGACTCATCAGGAGGTTGAACCCTAGGGGTGTGTGTGTGTGTGTATACGTGTGTTTGTTCGTGTGT